GCTCAGTCAGTGGGGGGGGGGGGACAGTCTGGTACATTGTAACAAATACAAGTATGCCTTAAACATTTTATTTTTCTTAAAAAAAAAAATGAAAGTTGGCCTACAACATGTATCTTCAGTAGAGGACCAAAGTCTTTTTTAAGTTCCCAAGTCGTTCTCGGTATTTTGAGCGCCCATGCTCGCATCACATACATCATACCCCAAATGCAAGCTCTGTGTGTTCTATTTCATTCCCTCCCAAGTCCTCCTCAGACTTGCCGAGTGCAGGCTGCAAACTGGAGGCCCCCTCTAATCTTAATCTAATCTAAACGTTTCACCCACATTAAATCCAACAGTAGATCTCCCACCAGAGGCACCTCTCACAGTTTCTGTTAATCATGAGCCTTCAGCCGTTTCCCCCGACACACGTACACTCATTTTCTTTTGTGTGTTTTCATAGCATGTACTTCATACGTGTAATTGATACGCTATCAGTGCATATCCTACACAGTGGGAGTAGCAGTTGACTACCCTGGGGCACAAATGCTCTGGGCTCCTCTGTGTTACGGGGTCAGCATGAGCTTCTGAATCCTCAGCTCAGAGGGAAAAGAACTCTGTCCAACACTGCAATTCCAGGAAGTTATAGTATGAACAGTGAACGACGAGGAATTCAATGTTTGTTGCTTTTGTTTTTAATGACATGATTTAAGCCACACTGGGATCCTCCAGTGGTGGGAGTATTAGCTAAGAAAGAGCCAGAGTGGATGGAGAAGGCTTAAATGGTCCTCATTGAAGGTTTTTGCTTGTTTTATTTTAATTTTACTATGCTTTTGTTTGTTTTTCAAGTCAGGGTTTCTCTGTATAACAGCTCTGGTTGTCCTGGAACTCATTCTATAGACCAGTTTGAAACTCCTAGATCCACCTGCCTCTGCCTCCCAAGTCCTGGGATTAAAGATGTGTGCCACCACCACCTGGCCTAATCTTAGGCTTTTAAAAAACAATGGTACAATATACATGACAATAGAGTGTGCTACTTTAAATTATCTAGTTCAGCAGTGATGAGAACGAGTACAGTGTGGGGCAGTCACCCTTCTCCTTTCCACTCTTATGAGAGCGAGTACACAGTGTGAAGAAGTCACCATTCCCTCTCATTTCCAGGGCCTTGTTACCCTCCCAGACATAGCTGCCATCTGTCTAGTGGTCTCTTCATACCCCACTCCCCACTGGTCTCCAGCTCCTAGTAACCTCCATGCTACTTTCTGTCCCTGAATTGCCCAGCTCCTTGTACTTCATGAAAGGAAGGCTGTGCATCCACCCGTGGCCTACCATGTTGTACCATGTGTTGGTGCTTTACTCATTTTTACAGCTTACAATATTTCATTGTACTAACACCCAACATTTTATCTGTCACGAGACAATTGTGTTCTTTCTGTCTTTTGGCTCCACTGAATGGTATGAATGTTGCCGTTGGGTGTGTTTGAGCCCCCCGCCTTCAGCTGTCTTGATTTGGGGCAAATTACACAGATAATAGAGAAGACATTGTAAGTACTTGAAGAGGCTACGAGAATAGGATGTGTTGACATTTCTTTTGCACTGGTGTCTTTTCATTGTGGTCTATTTATGTGCCTCCTCTGTTGGTCCCTAGAGTGGTGAGTTTTATCTTATGTCATTTTCTTTTGGTTCATTAACAAGTTCAGGGACAAGAAAATAAATAACTCTTAGTACTACCCACAGCAACACATAGTTAAGGAAGTATCACATTTGGATACAAAAGTCCCGGTGTAGATAAAAGATAGCCAAATCAACATTGTTGGAGACTTGCTGAATATCAGGTATACATTTCAAAATGTATATCTTAAGAGTGGTTCCACAGCTCAGTTGAAATAATGTGTGTCTGTGTGTATATTTTTGTATGTGTGTGTATATATATGTTGTGGTGTGTATGTGTATATGTATGTGCATATATGTTTGTGGTGTGTGTGTGGTGTGTATGTGTGTATGTGTATATGTATGTGCATGCATGTTTGTGGTGTGTGTATGTATGTGCATGTATGTTTGTGGTGTGTGTGTATATGTGTATGTATGTTTGTGGTGTGTGTATGTCTGAGGTGTGTATGAGTGTATGTGTGTATATGTATGTTTGTGGTGTGTGTCCTTGTGTGTGGGTGTGTGTATATGAGTTTATGTGTGTTGTGTGCGTATGTCTATATGTATGTGTGTGGTGTGTGTATGTATGTTTGTGGGGTGTGTGTGTGTGTGTGTGTATGGGCACCTACACCCCTTTGCACAGAGGTCAGAGGAGAACCTCACATGCTGCCTTTGATATTAATCACCCACTCCTGAGACAGGCTCTCTCACTGACCTGGAGCCTGCTGTGTGGATTAGGCCAGCCAGAGAGTGAGTTCTTGGGGGTCTCTGCCTGCCAAGGCTGGAGATAAGGGATACTCTCATCCCTGTTTGTTTTGTTGTTGTTGGGCTGAGGATCCAGACTCAGCTCTGAGGCTTGTTCCACAAGCCTTCTCCCTGAGCGAGCATCCTTCTAGCCCCAGAGCGTCCTTCTAAGGGATGTTACTTCAATGGGAATCTCTGTTTTTCTAAACCTGAGTCTCTGTTACTGTTGTTGTTATTATTATTATTTTTAGAGAGGCTATGATAGTAACATTGAAGATAGTTTGGAAACAAGGGAATAAATTTTACCTTCACTAGCACCCTAATGAAACTTTGTTTCATATTGTTTATGAAGGTTGAATTTACAAGTCATTTTTGAAAATAAATCCCTGAATACTTCTAATGGTAATTGTTTTTAAAATTTTACAAAATGATATAAGGGGCCAACTGAATTTTTGGATTAAGTTTGCTGTCATTGTTCGCCGAAGCATGCATATTTCATATCTCTGGGACTAGTCCTTCCCTCTACAGCTACATAATTGGAATATAAGTAACTGAAATAATAGCATCTCTATTTATTGCCCTCCCCTTTCTGAAGGCTCCCTAGGCCTCTGAAAACAGTTCCCACTGCTCCATGACCTTAAGCTGGGTGGGCCATTGAGATGTGAAGCCTGGTGGCTCAGGTAGGCTTTGTCACCCTTTAACATCTCTCTGGTTGCCGGTGCTTAGTGACTTTTGATGGCTATAATCCCTGTCATTGTTAACCTGGGCAGTGTCTTTTGCTCTGGGGTGACCTTTTGCTTGACACATGGGATCACAGTTGAACTTAGGGTAATTTAAACAGGGATTGGAGCTGATGCTGCACACATAAGCCTGTAGGGGACAATTTGAGCCTTTCTCTACAGTGCCTTTCTTCTGTCCTTTTCCCCAGACTGTCCGCCTTTTGTCTTCACTTATGTGTAGCTCTCCTGTGTTCTGCACTTTGCAGACATCTTTGATTGTACATTTATTTTGTTCTCCATCTCTTGCCATAAGGAGAGCCCCACACTTGGAGCTGCCTATCCTGGAACAGGCAGAAATTCCCACTCCACTGAAATTGTGCCCTTGAATTCCATGGGTCACTTAGGTTGTGTGTGGGTGCGGTGTATTTATTTATTTATTTATTTATTTATTTATTTATTTATTTATTTATTTATGTGTGAAGCAGGGTTCTGCTATGTAGACCAAGCAGGCCTCAATTTATAGACATCCGATTGCCCTTGCCTCCTATTTGCTGGCCAGCTCCCAGGAGTTGCCTTGTAACTGTCTTAGAGGATTTGTTTCTTGTCTGTAGTCAAGTGGTATCTGTCTCAACCCCAGCACTTTTCTGGCACTTTCTAAAGCAGGGTCTTGCCTTGGCCTCCTCTCTCTTGTACTTCCCTCCCCCTCCCTTCCCCTCCTCCTTCCATCTTTCCACTTCTCCCCCATCCTTGATGATTTAAAAACAGCTACAACACCACCCTTTTCATGACTTTCCCACCTGATTTGGTCTGGTAGAACCCTCGATTTTAGGGGTTCCGTCCTTTAGTTGTTCCTGTCCAGTGCTCATCCTGCAGTTTGGACCAGGCTTCTGCCGAGGTGTGGCGGCTCTTAGTGGTCTGCCAAGCTCTTCAGCTTTACTTATCATGCTCCGACAATGACCGTTTTGCAGCCAGTGCCTCATATGTGGTAACTGTCTCAGAGTCTAATTTGGAAGGTGCGGTCATCATTTTTACCTTGACATTTGGAGATATATAGATATCTATTTCTGTGATCCTTGTCAGGAAAGGAGAAATAGATGAATTTCAGTGCTTGAAGAAAAATAGAAAGATGTTCTCCTGTCATGTATACTCTTATTTTTAATGTGCCTTTTCACAGTTATATACACACACATTGTGTATACACACACACATACACACACACATATATATATATTATGTATATGTGTTTATCATACCTGCCTACTGCTATATATGCATATTTATCTTACCTGCCTGCTGCTACTCTGTCTTCTCTCTCCATCAACCTCCTAAGCTCCTTGTTCCTAGTCCCTTTCTACTTATACAAAGTTTTATTTTGTCTTTGGTGCCCACTGACTTGTATGAGGAGTGCCTGCATGAGCAAGGCTCGAGGCTCATTTCTTTGACTAAAGGCAACTTACCAGTGGCTACACCACTGAGGAATAAGTCATGTCCATGCCCTAAAGGTAGACAGTAGATCTTTTTTTTTTTTTGTTTTGTTTTGTTTTGTTTTGTTTTTTGTTTCTTGTTTCCACCGTATAAGATGTCGCTGTGGTTTTTAAGGTGAACATTAGTGTAGCAGCATCATGAGGACAGTCCGGCATCAGTGTAAGCCCTGTGCATGGTTGAGCCAAAGAAAGCCTCACGTCCATCTCAGCAGCTTGTACACCAAATATGACCCATAGGACTAATTGAAGGTTGCAGAAAATAACTTTATAGATGAATTTAAACTTTAGACAGAATTCCCTCTTCAGCCACAAATAGCAGGACTATTTTTACTGTGGAGTACACAGAAGATGGAACTCAATATTAGAAGAAATGCTTTATTTTGCCAAGACAGCTCACACTCAACACAGTCCTTGTTTTTCTTGGCAGGAACTTCCCAGCCATCTGTGAGTCCAGTGGAGCTGTCTCCACCATCCATCGAGCCAGCGCAATCGGAGTTAATAGTCGAAGCTGGTGACACCATCAGGCTTATGTGTGTTGATCCTGCCTTCGTCAAATGGACTTTCGAGACTATCAATCTAATGAGTGAGAATAAGCACAGAGAATGGATTCAGGAAAATGCCAAAGCCACTCATACCGGCAGATATACGTGTGTCAACAGCGCCGGCCTCAGGAGCTCTGTTTATGTGTTTGTTAGAGGTAAATGCTGGGCTTTCTGTGTTGCTGTGCCATAGAGTGTCTGGTACCCTGTTCTTACTTGTAGGTGACAGGTAGGTGACCAAACCGCAGGCAGAGTTTTGCTGGCTGGTTCTAGAAGGCATAACATAAATGTTTTCCTTTGCTGGGTTCCACTATCTTTTGATTCACGGTGGCTTTGAGTGTGACCCCAGCTGGGGGTCTGCAAGGCTGTAACTGGATTACAGTCTGGATAGCCCATTTGTCCTGGTGCTTGGGGTCAACCCTAAGAATAAATTAGGCCCTTTGGGAAAACTGTATTTTAATGCCTGGAGATACTAAATATTCCCACTTAGTAGAAACACTTCAGGGAAACAAAGGCCTCCAAAGGCCTAAACAGACTAGCAACTTCAAAAGACTTGGACCACTCTTAAGGGAGTAAATTCCAGAAAAAACGACTCAGACAGCTAAGCATCCTTTACCAGTCATAAGTTCTTTTGGAGTCGTTCTTTTGAACACTTACAACCTCTTGGAAACAAAAGAAAAAAGGGATGAGGCAGTTATATATTCCTATACCCCATTTTCTAGACACATTCAGCAATTTGTGTATGTGTGCTTTTGCTATGATGTCAAGAGCCTGCAGAGCAATATCCTTTGGGTGAAGTAAAAACAAAGCTAATGACAGTTTAAGAGATACACGAGAGAACAGGAAATGAAAGTCCTGGTCCTAGCACTGGTTGTATTGGGATGAGGCCTTCCGTTTATAAGGTGTCCGCCGTTCTGTGAGTATATAGTAGATACATTTCTTGTGCCTGGGAGATGTGCTGCCTAGTGCCTCCATTTCTCACTGTGGTTTTTAGATAAGATGAGCAGTCTCCCTTAAGGGATTGTTAGGGAGACGCAATTATACAAATCTTAGCGTGCTCAAGCAGGGGTTAATAAAGCTGCCTCAGAAGATTGCCATGAAATTGGCTGCGCCTCTGCCGGCTTTATCAGTTGCCCTTCCTTAAGTGGGCAGTGGAGGGGACATGTTCTGCTGATAAGCCACAGTTTAGCTTCAGGGTTCCGCTTCGGAATTGTTAAGCCCATCCCCAAGCTGCTGGTGACATTGGAGAAGGTGTTCTATAATTTCTAGGTGGTAATGAAAGTACCATTAGCTTACTGATGGACTGCTTAGACACCGAGTTAACTGGAGCAGTCAGAGCTCACACCCTTTTTCACATTTAGACCCTTAACTAGTCTATGCCCCTTCGAGGAAAGAAGTTAGCACCTTGTTGGAGGCTCTACGCCTGGTGACAGAGAAAGTATAAGCAGAAAATCAGTTGTGGCTTCTGATCACAGTCTGTTCATGAAGGTTTGATTTTCTTTTTTCCCTTTAGTTAAATTAAACAAGTATATTTCAGTGGCAACAGACTCTGTGTGTTGGTAAGATTTGATTTCCAGGTGGAGAGGATAATTTTTAAACAGAACCTCAGGGGGCTGGGTGGATAGTTTGCTTAGTTGAATGAGTGCTTGCCATACAAGCTTAAGGACCTTTGTTTAACCCATAAGTCCCACATGTAGGCCAATGTGTTGGAGGCTGGAGAGGAAGCTCCATCTTTAAGAGCACATGGCTGATTTTACTGGGGACCCATTTTGGTTCCCAGTGCCCACAATGGGCAGCTCACAACCACTTACAACTCTGGCTCTAGGGACCTGACACCCCTTCTAGTCTTCAATCTGTGTGTGCATGGTCTACATACAGACAAGCTGTTACATACTCAAACATGTAAATTAAAATAAAAAAAAAAAAAAACTGAAAGCTGCTGTGTTATGCAATCTTCTAATGGTTTTAAGGCTTTAAAAAATGTTCTCATGTCATGGTGTACACCTTTAATCCCAGCTGAGGCAGATGGATCTCTGTGAGCTTGAAGCCACCGTGGTCTACAAGTTCCAGGCTGACATAGTCTAACCCTATCTAAACAAATAGTGTCCACACTCATCCCTGCAACACGCTGACTTTTTGTTCTCTTTCGTAGATCCTGACATACTTTTCCTGGTTGACCTTCCCTTGTATGGGAAAGAAGACAATGACACGCTGGTCCGCTGCCCTCTGACAGACCCACAGGTGTCAGATTATTCCCTCAGGGAGTGTGATGGGAAGTCTCTCCCCAAGGACCTGACATTTGTCCCAAACCCCAAGGCTGGCATCACCATCAAAAACGTGAAGCGCACCTACCACCGGCTCTGTCTCCGCTGTGCTGCCCAGCGCGGAGGCAAATGGGTGTTGTCGGACAGATTCATCCTGAAAGTGAGGGCAGGTATGACTCCCTTCTTACATCTTGTGGGAGATGTAGACCCTGTTCATGGGGCCAACATTTCTCCTCCCACTTAGCTTAAGGCATCAGGACACAAGCCACCAGCTTCCAAAGTAATGCCACACTTCGAATTCCTCCAAAGTGACAGGTTCTGCTGGCTAAGATGGATTAAACTTGCTGGTTTAGGGCACCCCAAAGTGACTTCCTTGCCACAAGTGTTCCCACTCAAGAGGAAGATTTAATGTGGGAAGATTAGTCTACAAGGGGTTTCTTCTATAATTTGCTGTGGACAAGTGACTTGACTTTTTTCCCCTTTAGCTGACTGATTCTAATGCATTCCCAAGCCATTCAAGCTCTGGGAAAGAAAGTGCTCACAACCTGTGGAACTTAACTACTGTGGCGCCACATGGAACCTCTCAGTAGTTGGAAGATTAACTACGCTTTATATTTGAGGTTATCTAACTCAGCATCACTTTGGGATTCAACTGATGAGAATTTTTAAGCTTGAAAAACTGCATTCATTAAAATGAAGGACATTTTAATGATTTAAAAGATGGAGATTTTCAGAACTAAGCAGGGTGTGAATTGTATAATAGGTTGGAAAGATAACCATTGGCTAAGAGAATAATTTTAGTTGTAGGCTAGGTCCTCAAGAAATTATCAGATGTTCCCCAGGTAAAAATTAAATCTGCTTTACTATGCTAACTTCTTACCCCTGATTGGAAAAAAAGGCAGAAGTATTTATGATTGCCAAGTGGACGGACATTCCTACCTTTTTCACTTAGCGTGGGAATATACTTGTGAGATGAGTGACTTAATTGGTGGCATATGTAGATATGTAAGCAACGTAGCTAGGTTGGAATGTATTGTGTTTTGCTTTTTATTTAATGATATAATGCAAGCTGTGCACAGTCAAGAGAAAGCAAGTTTGGGCCTAGAAAGGTGGCCCAGAAATGAAAAGTTCTTGCTGCTCGTCCAAAAGATCAGTTCAGATCCCAAACTTGACCTTGAGGACTTTGAGTGGCTTACATCTGCATAACTCCAGCTCCAGGGTATTCAACAACCTCCTTTTGGCCTTCTCAGACCCCGCGCGCACCCCACACCCCCACACACACAACATGGCATATACCTACACAGACACAGGCATACACAAATAAATAAAACTAAAATAATTTAAAAAGAAAAGAAAAACAAGATTGCGTTAAACCACAAGAAGTTAAAATTCATGCTATAACAAAACAACTGACTTCAGGTATATATTTCTTTTTAATTCTAGCCATCAAAGCTATCCCTGTTGTGTCTGTGCCCAAAACAAGTCATCTCCTTAGGGAAGGGGACAAGTTTACAGTGACATGCACCATAAAAGATGTGTCTAGTTCTGTGGGCTCGATGTGGATAAAGGGGAGTACTCAGGTAAGGGATTCTATTCATCCTTTTGGCTTGTGGCTATCCCTGTGTGGGAAATTGTGCAAGCTCTCTACCAAACTGGCCTGCAGGTGACTCTGCTGGTAGACATGGCTGTTAGCAACTGGCTGAGAGTATGTTCACGTGGTATTTGCCTGTATATATTACAAGGTGTATTTATTATTAGTGGCAAGTAACTGCCACATTCTCACTATATTTTGAGAGAAGAGTAGGAATTAGCCTCAGGTTATTACTTTAACTCTTCTCCTCCTCCTTCTTATGACTTTAGTAAAGAAATTAAAAACAAAACAACAAAACAAATGAATAATTATATGGCCTTCAGGTAAATATTATCTGCTTAGGCCAGATGATAGCAAGAGTCCAGCAGCCCTCTCCCCTCTTTTTGTGAAGACTAAGTGGTATCATGCATAGCCCACAAAGCTCTTCTGGTCCCTGAAGAATGGCTGGGGATGAGGTTCTCTCTGCAGCCTGGACCTCCCAACTTTGAGGCTGGTTACCTGGGATTAATTTACTAATGGTTTTCTATTTGTTTTAGTTGCTATTAATAGAATGGCTATCTTTAATGTGAAACATTTAGATATGTTTTATGTTCTCATTCAGTTGACAACTATATATTGAATGCTTACTATGTGTCAGATGCTGAGTTGGGCATATCTTAAGTAAATTTTAGCCAGATACTCCACGCCCCTAACTCTTTTTCTTTCAGTGCTAAGGCTTGAACCCAAAGGCATTATGCCTGCTAGGCAAGGGCACTGTCTAACCAATTTTAGACAGTTTTATTTGATCCATCCTTCCTTCCTTCCTTCCTTCCTTCCTTCCTTCCTTCCTTCCTTCCTTCCTTCTTTTCTTCCTTCCTTGGTCTCGAGTAACTCAATAACAAGGGTTTTTAAATGCTTAATTTTCCTAATATTTTGCATTAAAATTCCCATTAACTGAGTTTCCTCTCTAGCTTTAAGTAATTTTAGTGAGACAATTACCTAGCCATGAGTAGTTCCTCTTCATCTCACATGTGGGAATGTGAAGAGGAAAAATGAAATGCATTTTATTCCTCCTCTTCCTCCTCCTCTTGGCCAGTGTTCAACATGGGCAATTTCATGCCTGCATAAAGAGTTCTGTGCTAAACGTATAACCATGGTGATCCGCATAATGATGGCATTTCTTCAGACCTTGATGGATGACATCTTGCTTCGGCTGTGAAACCTGCTACTGGCCTGGAGAATAGATTGTACTGGAGACTGATTCTTTTAAACCAATGGCTCAGAGAAACAACTTTTAGTTTTTAAGGCCATCTAATATAATAAAAATAATAGCTTCTGTATGGATTTTGAGCTAACCTTACAGAGCACAATCCCATATTAATTGGCTTTCTATAATGCTTGATTTCAGATGAGAGAACAATTTAGACTGTGTGTGTGTATTTGAGCCTGTGTGTACTTGAAAATTAGCCCTCTTAAGATGAGAAATTCAATTGCCCCAGGTGGTTTTGTTCTGAACCACAGTTCCCAGGAGCCCTGCATGCCATTCCCAATTAACCCACTGGCGATGGTAGCTAAGTCTTTAGTGTTAGGAACTCTTTGGGGAGATCCCAGTGTGTGCCTCCAAGGGTTAAAGAAAACCAAATCATGTGCAGACAGCATGTAATGTGTGACTTGCAGATGGGACTCTTGGCTCTATGCCAGGGTTCACCATGAATCTTTTATTGGTCCTTTGGCATAATTTGGAATGCTGTTAGCACTATCAGATTATTTAAAAAAAAATCCATAATGTTTGATCCTGGCCATTTAGAGGGAGTTTCAGTCATGAGAAATTGAGACTACAAAGAGATCTTAAGAGTGTGTGATTATTTGTTCAAGCATATGTCTTGAGGCTTCAAGGATGGTTGTTCATCTCAGCTAGCTTTCCTAGTGTTTCCAAGCACTAACGTTTCTATTGGCTTTCACTTGTGAGTTTGGTGGTATGCTAAATTATGATCTTTGACTTTAGGGCATTGCTAGAAAATCATTTTTGACCAAGCTGTTTTGTTCTGCACTGAGCATCTCAGAGTTTGTGCTGAGCACTCTTTTGGGGAACTCTCTGGCTTCCACTGGGGGAAATGGTGTCCCATCTGTTTGTTGTTATCACAGTAGCTTTGGAGAGGAGTCAGGAAGAGTGGCCTAAAGGCCATCATAAGGTGGTTCATTTTGTTTTGATAGTGATCCTATGCAGGGAAATGTCAGATTTCTACCACTTAGAAATACCTAGAAGGGATGACTTGGAATCTGTAGCATCCATATGGGAAAGGCCTTTAAAGCCCGATTGTTAGCACACACCTTTTAGAAACAAAGGCCAAGGCCAAATTGCGTCTTTGATTTGATCAAGAGCTCACAGTCAGCTAATGACCACATAGATACTCTTACTTTTTTAAAGCTGTAGGCCATTAACGTTTATTTATGGTTATTTTAATGTAACAGGATTCTAACTATTGTGGGCGGGACATTAGCTCTGTCACAGAGCACTTGCTTTGCCTGTGTGAGGCCTTCAGTTCCCGGCCTGAAGAAAAATTCTTAAACTATAATTATATGAGGGGAATAAAAAGAGAGGCATGGTCTGTGTTTGTAGTTAGCAATGCTGTATATATAATAGAAATATAATGTGAATTTCACAAGCCATTTAAAATTTTCTAGTAGGCACATTCCAAAAATAAGTGATTTTCAGGCCATATTTGACCCAGTAATATGAAATACTATAATTTCTTACTAAAATTAACATAAATTTATTAATAATATATTCTTCATCTTAGATAATTCTAACTAACCAGAATCTAGCATATGTTTTATATGACTCACAATTACCATATTTGAAGTACTTCATCATCACATGTGGCTAGTCCTTATTAATGCCAGGTAGCCTGCACATTTCCTGTGTTTGTTTCTCTTGTCTTTTCCCCATGTGAATGTCTTTTCACTTGGCCATAGTATTAAGCTTGATGCTTTGTGATAGCTTCTTACTATGGTAGCCCAAGCTGGCCTTGAACCTGTAACTGTCGGTCTGACTCAGCTCCCAAGTGTTGGCGCTACAGATATGAGCTGCCTTGTCCCTCCTATGCTGTGTCTAAGCAACACAAGCATTTCAGTCATTTCCTACGCACACATCATAATCTTTATTGTGACATTTACCTGATGTATATTCATGTTGTTTCGAGTGTTCCTGAAGTCACACCGTGGAACGTTTTTCTTGTTATGTCCCTTTGACACATCTGATCTGAGGACCTGACTGTCCTGCCAAACTCCTTTCTAGCATTGTTCCCATTAGGAGGCTGCTGGGCTAGCACTGCCAGGGCAATGTAGCTGGCCATCACCCTTGCCCTTGGTCATTGTCAGTATCAGTTCCAGCTTGCTTGTTTTCTTTAGTTGATATTGTTTTCCCATTGTAACAGGAATGCGTGTCCATTGCAGCAAATTTGGAGTAGCACAGACCACCTATGTTAGTTTTCCTGTGACATTTCCTATGCAAGCACCCCTCCATGTGTGGTCTGCAGACTGATCACAAGAACGATGTCAGGAGGGTTGCCTGCTCAAATGCTTTGTGGTATGGTCCTGTATGTGTCATGTGCCTCAGTCCCTTCAAGTAGTTAAGAAAATGTGACTGGGCTGATAACTGTGATGCTGAAACACCAAGTCAGCTGTGCATATTCCGATTCTCATTTTATTTCTGAGGATACTAAATGCTGATAGAAAGATTGTGTTTCCTTGCAGTTCCTAGATTCACACATGGAAAAGGTAACAGAGGGAGTGGGGATGCAGCAGGTCAGCCAAGCCTGCTTGCCAGCATGCGTGAAACCCTGGGCTCAGTGCACAGCGCAACATAAACTGGGCTTGAATGGTGGCTTGTGCTTGTGATCCCAGCACTCAGGTGGAGGGTGGCAGGTGGCTCAGAAGTTCAAGGTCATTCTTGGCCATATAGGGAGTTAGAAAGCCAACCTGGGCTATCCTGGGCTACACGGAGATCCTGTCTCAAAGGGGGGGGGCAGGAAATGTTAATGGCGTAAGTGTGCTGACTCACTTTTGAAGTATTAGTATTCTGTAATCTTACTAAAATCTAATACTGCAGCAGACGTTGTGAATTTTCTCATTTTTATCCCAATCATTCATAATGACTATCTTTCAATATAATCCTGTGATATGAAGGGTTCTAGTGACAGGCTTGTCATGATGCCTTATTATTCCTCCTCAGTAGTGTATAATGAATGCTAATATGGAGAAGTTAATTGCTGCTATTTTTAATTTAGGAAAGATCCTGAATATAAATTATATGGTAATCTTGATTTTTTTTTCCCCTCCCCTTCTGAAAACCGTAGGCTAAAGCACAGGTAAAACGAAGTAGCTGGCATCGGGGTGACTTCGACTATGAACGCCAGGAGACACTGACTATCAGCTCAGCAAGAGTTAATGATTCTGGAGTGTTCATGTGTTATGCCAATAATACTTTTGGATCAGCAAATGTCACAACAACCTTGAAAGTAGTAGGTAAATATCTCTATGGGAATGCGTAAATTATTGGCAATAGTGAAAGGAGGAATTACTAGATAGTTTCCTTTTTATGCAAATGGGACTCTAAGAACTGATTTGTAGAATTTATTATCACCAAATGAATGAATGAACGAGCGAACGAATGAACGAATGAATGAATATTATCCCTGGAGCTTCTTCCCAGAAAAATACCAAACCAGATCCTACCAGTTTACTCCAAAAAACTGGAGACCAGTCACTGAAGTTCAGATCTGTCACTCTGCGCTCCCACCTTCTGCTCCCTCAGCAAGCAATGCATATACTGAGTTTCCCCTCACACTTTAGCCCTCGATGAGCAATTTGAGCTTGGAAATGACTGTAGATGTTCTTTGTCAGGATCAAAGATGCGTAGAGCCTGGGGTATTTCTCTATCTTCCGGTACACTGGTTTTGTCCGTTGTTGTCTTTAGTCCTTTTGTGGTCTGTGCTACATTGGGCTTATGCAGCCTTTTTGTACTCCTCTCTCTCTGCTCTGCAGCTTTAAATCAAATTCATCACTCACATGGTCATGAAAGAGGTGTTGATCCGAGAGAGGCTGAGCTGGAGTCAGGTCCTGAGGGTCCTCCCTGCTCCCAGGTTCTCCACATTAGCTCTGCACAGTTGAGCTTTGGTCCTCCCAATGCTAGAAATCTCACGATTTTTATTCCCCAGGCAGCTCCTTAAGGAGAGGCAGCACATAGTGGGTTCCTTGTTATTTTGTTTTACCTAGAACAATAGCAGTTACCTTAAAATTACTTTATTCATAGGGGTTTTTGGTTCTTGTGTCTTTAATTAAAAAGAAAAAACACATTTCAATCTTTACATTTTTAATATATAAAATTATATATATGTTTCTGCGCATATGTATATATACACTTACATATATATGTACACACACAAGACTTTTTAATGCAGGCATTTTCTTGCTACAATAACACACATGTGACGCCATGAAACAAGTCTTTGTAAGCAGTAATAAAGCTATGCAGTGTTTGTTTTTGTCTCTCCCCTTCCCCCATCCCAGATTCCAGTAATTTATGGAACAGAGCTCTGTGATTTTTTTTTTTCCCCTCTCACCCTGTAGTAATGTCATAAAAATTTGGTGTTTCTGCCCAAGTTCTAATGGGAAGTCTCTCAACAGTCAAACACAGAGAAGACACTCCGCTTATAATTATAGAGTCATCACACAGAAAGTGTGCCCCTCTGTCCCCAAATGTGATCGTGAGCCATTTATTAATTTGAATAGAGGGCTATGCTTTTAAAATATTAAACTCCATAAGCACTAATTTGCTAAGTTGATTAGGGAGCATGTTGATATATCCTCTTCAGCTCCAGAAAGCAATTAGTAAAGATGTTTTGAGCGTATTGTTGTATGTAATCGGATTTTAAAAATCCATTCATCAGTTTCCAAGAATTAGAAATGTGTGACTGGAAAGCCATCCCCGTGGCTGTGAAATTTGAATCTGGTTTTGTTGTGGGTTAGGAGTGAGTTGTGGTGGGACAGGAACAGGAAATGTCAATGAGAGGGTAATTCTGTTGGGGCTAGGTGTGGGGTTGAGATCCAACATGGGATGGGTCTTAGAGTAAGACTTTGGGATTCTGCTGACTTGTTTTTTTTTTTTAATATTTAGAATTATGTACAGTGAAGGGCCAAAACATGATGTTGCAGGGCTACATACAGATCATAAAAAATTTACTCTCACTGAAGCAAATAAACATACCACCATCTACAGTTATCTTTTGGTTGTTTTTTGTGGCAAGAGCAGATGGAATCTGACCTGGATTGGGGTTAGTTAGGGCTCTGATACTTAGCTTTCTAATGTACCCCATATTTTCTCTGTGTTTCCTCTCAGGAGAAATAGCCTTCAGCACCCACAGCATTGGAGATGAGGCGAGGCAGGTTTTTATGGGAGTGTCAGACATAGTGTTTGGACCTGATTAATGTTAACACAGATGCCTTAATGCAGAAGTACTTGAAAAAAAAAATTAAAAATTACAATTTTTTAGAGTTCCTTTTTCATGTTATAGTAGGACCTAAGGCAGAGTCTTAATAATTCTTTCATTATAGAAATGTAAAGCTTTGTTCCACCACAAACATAATCCTATTGTGTTAAGTCAGCCTTTTGTTACTATGACCAAACAGCTGATCAAGCAGTTCAAAGGAAGAAAGGTTCGTTTGACTCATAATTCCAGGTCTGGAGACTTGAGGCAAGTTTAGAACATCATGGTGTGAGCAGGGACCAGAAGAGAAGCACCCCCACCCATTCCATTCAGCAGTAGAGTTTCCAATGGATACCACTGATACACTTGGAACCCTCATGATCTAGTTACTTTCCACAAGCCCATTGCTAGCAACCAGGTCTTGGGGCAAGGGTATTCTTTATAGTCAAATCATAACAACTATATTGAGCAAGGTAGGCTGCAGAAAACCGTTGCTCTATGGTAATCATCACATTGTTTTTCGTTGTGCTGTACCTGGAAATCTGAACTTGTGATGCAATATTTATTTTTTAACATAGCAAGATCTAACAAACAATAAAACCTTTCCTTGTCAACAAAGAGTAGTAGGGGTTATATTGTTCCTGGTGCTGATGTTACCAGCTCCAACTCCAGTCTTTTTATTTTGGATGATTTTTTTTTTTTCATTCCACATGGAAAATAATCCCTTTCAAATTGGGCCAGGAGCTATAGGACACTGGGTTGTGTTTCTGACTCAACCTATAGGCAACCAGAGTGCATTAAAAGCTACATCAACAAGTACTTGTGTGTCTGTAGATGATAGCTGAGAGTTAGTGAAAGTTTACAATTTTAAGCATTTGAAAATGAGATAGAATAAAATTTAAACAGTAATTTGGTGTAACTGTTTTTAAAGATTTGAGTATTTTGCTTATTTTTGTATATAAGGGTTTTCATTATACATACAATTTTATTCATGTTCTTATTTTCTCTCTCTTAAAATGTATAGAAACTCTAAAAAAAGAGGCCATTCTTGGCTTCTCTTAGACCCATGTTCAAAGCTAGACTTTGCTATATAGCTTTGCATCTAAATATAACTTAATCAATTTCATCTATAAATTAGAGATTATAAGTATTCCCTATAAACTAGAGTTATTACTAAATCTCTAGCCTGGGCCTAGGGAGATGACTTAGTGGATAAGAGTGCTTGTTCTGCAAGCTTCAGGAGCTGAGTTCAAATCCTCAGCACCTACGTAAAAAACAAAAAAACAAAAACAAAAAAAAACAAGCATCACTATGCTTGTGCATCACTATGACCCCTGTTCTGGGGGACAAGAGACGGCTAGATCCTGAGAGCTCCCCGGCCAGCCAGTCTTGCTGAAATAAATGGTGTGTCTCTGACTCGGAGGAAGAACTTGTCTCAAGGCAGCTGGGGTGAGGGAGATACCCACTGGGAGTGCTGCTCTGGCCTGATGGGCATCTCCATGCTCTATGTGCATTTAGCATAGCCATAGACACCAACACAACACATATATGTGCACAGAAAACCCATAACCAGCTTCTCATCTATAAATTAGAAACTACAGCTCTATGTTCTAGAATGATTGTAAGCATAAATGTCATAATTATTATATGAAATGTGTGCTGAAGTGCCTGGGGCAGTCCTTGGCACATAGTAAGCATCCCCTAAATGGTGGCTATAAAAATAACATCGGGCAATTAGTTTATTGCTTTTTTTTCCCCCTCCAGGCTCACTCCTGGATTATTATATAACCGTTTCTAAGGCTGCACTATTTACTTCACCAGTGTTCTGTCATTTCAAGAGTTATTGTAACCTGTACAAATAGCACTTTGTGCATCTCTAACCCATTTTAAGAAGAGTTCTCAAATGGAAATTACAGGATTTAGACTTAAAAATAGATAATTTAAAAAAAGAAACTCTCGATTGCTAACTGGTTCTGAGAAGAAGTGTGCCAGTTTGTCGTGTGTGTGGCTCTCTGGGCTTCTTTGAACACACTTGAGATTCTTGGGTTTATTTTAAATTAGTTTTGCTATTTTTAATAAATGGAAAGTGCTATCCCTATTTTAATTAATGATTTAGCTAAACAGTCTTCCCCCATAGTTGTAGTTTAATGTCCTCATTCCCATTACCTTAATTCAAATTTGCCCTTTATGGTGTTTTTCCTTTTGCTCTTGCTTCCAAAACCCACCGGACCCAACCCCCTCCCATAAGAGGTAAAAGTCCTGTTTCCACGTTAAAGTGCTGTGTGATTGGCCCATATTGTGATAACACACGTGGTATGCAGGGGCCCACTCTCATGTCCTTCAGCGATGACACAATGGTGTTTTCTGTAGCATTTTTGTCACATATTAGAGCTTGTAGTAGCCTTGACTTGGTGGTATTTTCTTACTACGTCTATAACTCTTCTGGATTTATTTTGCTAAAATACCCTTGAACCTGAACCTCACAAGTGTGGAGACAAGTGGATGGAGAGTTGCTTTTAGGGACTTGCTAATGACATAGCAGTATGCATGACTTTGGGGTGGCTCGTATCACCCAAGGATGTTGTGAAGAGCAAAAGAAAAGTTGACACACAGCTCGCTGCTCACGGCTTCTTATTGGTTGCTAGTCAATGCTGGAAGTCAATGCTTTTATGATCCTAAGGTGACGATGGGGCGTGTTCTTGTCAGTTGTGAATATTGATTGCTGTCTCATTGTTACAATTAGATAAAGGATTCATCAACATCTTCCCAGTGAAGAACACTACAATTTTCGTAAATGATGGAGAAAATGTGGATTTGGTTGTTGAATATGAAGCCTACCCCAAACCTGAACACCAACAGTGGATATATATGAACAGGACCACCACTAACAAAGGGGAAGATTATCTCAAGTCTGATAACGAAAGTAACATCAGGTAAGAAATGGACTTGTGTCCTCTTGCAGCCAGCTTCCCAGGTCCTGTTTTGGTGACCCAGCAATGCATGGAAAGACGTCAGATGGAGGAGCTTATCTAGAGCTACCTCTGTGTCCTCAGCTGAGAATTCCATTTTATTGTGGGTTTAGAATGTTCACACCTCACAGGCAAATAAATGTATGCTGAATGAGTTTCTCATTTGGAAAGTGGGGGTTACTTTTCTCTTAGTTTTAAGGGTAACCCAAAACAATGACTGGCATATCTTCAGGACACTATAATTTTCCTTAGGAAGAAAGAGAAATTAATATTGTTACTACTTTACTAAAACACCAAGGATAACTATGAATTGTTCAGCTTTGGGCCAGATGACCAATTCTTTTTCTTTATTATTAGATCTCTTATTAGAGCTTCAAAACAGTACTGATACCTTGTGTTCTTTCATTCATTCCTGTCATGTGTATCTGACAGATATCAGCACAAACCTTAAATGTAGCACTTAATTCTTTTAAAATTGAGTTTGTTGTTGTGTGGGTATATCATGATGCAGTGACATAATGCATCCCGAAGGATGTGTGAAGGTTAGGGACCATCTTTAGGAGTCTGTCTTTCCCCTTCCCCCTTCCCCCTTTCCCCTTTTACATGCGTTCCAGGGATCAAACTCAGCTACTTGTGGTGAATGTATCTTCACCCATTCACCTCATTGACTCTGCAGCACTCTTTAAGTTCCCCCATTTTTGTGCACAAAGAAGCCAAGGTACAGAAGGGTGAAGTGATGAGACCCAGATCAAATGACTAAAAAGGGGCTGATAACTGGGTAGTTTATGTTATGAACTGATAGGCTAACCTGGATCATTGAGGCTTAGGCTGAAGAGGGTGGAGCTGGGAAGTACCCAGGTAGGAGCGGAGTGGCTAAGTTGGGAAGTACCCAGTAAGAGAAGAGTGGTCAAGGTGAAGTGCTCTTAGGTTGGGATCTTGCATGCCTTTGTTATAAAAAGGGAGTTCAGTGGCATGGGACTTATGCAGAGAGAAAACTGTGGGAGCAGGAGAGCTGCTGAGTAAGGACCTTGGGGAACTCTGCACTGAGCTTCTGTGCCTGGCCATTCAAGGTGACCCTTGGGTGAAGGTTACAGATGTGAGGTGGGCTGAAATCCACCCACACCGAGGGTTCATGGGAACACGGAAATAGGCCTGTAGATGAGGCGCAGGACAGAGAGGCACCTGCATGAGAAGCTGATTAGAAAGTTTGATCCAGCAGCAGTTTGAGTTTGTCTACTGAGTGGTGAGAGGAGAATGAGTAAGGCCACTGAGCCTGGTAAGTTGGTCATGGTCTTGCTCAGCTGGTCTGTCCGTCTAGAGCTCACACTAGCTCAAGAGTTATGGCGTTCCATCTTCACAGCCATCCTGTAGGTCCTGAGTAGATCGGATACTTGAATAACAAATATTGCAGGGGATGCTGGGAAAAGAAGTCTGGAAGTAAAAAGAACACTAAGAGTTAGCATTGTTGACAGAAGTGAGGTAGGGTGACAGTGGGTGAAGGAGTTCATGGTTATGTGGGTCCCAAGGGCCTAAGGAATTGACATGAAAATGGAGGGTATGTACAGGCTATTGAGCCAGGGTTTCCCAGGACAGAGTTCAAGGTATTGCTACAGTGTGGGCAGAATAGGAAGTGGTCACAAGGGTAGCCTGGGACAGTGGCCCCAAAGGCTTGGCTAGCCCATTTCTATGTCTTTACATGCAGGTTTTTGTCCCCAAATAGAGTGACACACATGTCTGTGTGTGTTAACACGGAATTAAATGACTCATTGATATTTTTCCCCCAAGAGGCATTTCTTTCCAAGTAGAAGCAGTGACAGAGACTTGCACTTTAGGACAGACTGTCCACAGGGGGTTGATTTATTGTCCTTCCCTTGTAGATATGTGAACGAGCTCCATCTGACCAGATTAAAAGGCACAGAAGGAGGCACCTATACCTTTCTGGTGTCCAACCCTGATGTCAGCGCTTCCGTGACATTTAACGTTTATGTGAACAGTAAGTACATTGCAGGACTCCTTATCTTTTTATTTTGTGTGATTGCAAGCTGCAGCTCGTGTGTAGAGCAGCTGCAGAGCTGCGTTTCTTGTGTACTATGTAAATAATGTTTCATGATAATTTTGACCTTAACAAAGACCTAGTGGTTGGGTGGTTGGAAGAGAAACCAATTCCCTGTCCTACATTTCACTGGCCACATGACCTTGTAGAAGTGGTGTGAATTTCTGAGGGCCGCCTCTGAAGTAAACAGAGGCGTCCTGGGAGGCTGACATTAGGAGCTGAGAGAAAGTGTGTTATTATTGATTGTTGAACTGGAAAGCCAGATGTTGAATGGGAGCTGGGGTTTGCCATTGAGTTGGGGAGAGATACTGTCAAGTCCTGACATGGATTTTCTCTTCCCAGAGCTTTCTCTCTTCAGGCTATGATAAACCATTTATGTTTAGATTATTCTCCCTCTAAGATCAATGTGCTTTTGACCCAGCTCAATGGGTCATTGCTGAATACTTCAGGAGTACCGAGGGAGCAGGCAGCAAGTGGTTTGGTGGTGGGGGCAATTGTCTGTAGTCATGGGAACTCAACACCAAAGTCCTGCACTACTGTGGTTCTTTGAAAAACTTCTAAGCAGAGGTGGAGGCCAAGCAGACAGGAGTCTATCCTTGCAGCAGCTTCTGCCAAGTGAAGGGCTACTCCTTGGCTCTCTGTTCTGGGTCCAGCCTGCATTGACAAGGAAGAATAACAACATGATACACACCAGAGTGTTCTAGAAGAAGGCCCAGTAAACAAGTGACTGTTAGAATTATCCATCCTGGGTATGTGGGGTCCCGGGAAACAATGGGGGCATTCCTGTGCTAGTTACTTGTTGCAAGAGAATAGAGCAAAGCAGCTTGAGGGAAGGGGGTTGTGGGTTCATGTTTGCAGGCGATGTAGCCCATCTTGGCAGGGAGGGCATGGCTCTGGGGTTAGGTCTGTGGCAGTAGGAGCTTACAACTTAACATGTTCGCCTTATGACTAATCAGGAAGTAGAGAGCTGAGGCTGGAAACCAGTCTACAACCCTCAGTGGCCTTCTCTGCCAGCCATGCCTTCTGCCCGAAGGTTCCAATCTCCCCAAAACAGCATCACAGGGTAGGGGGGATCATTCAAATATATGAACCTGTCAGGGATATTTCAGATCAAACCAGAATAATTCCCCACAAAACAACTTAGGAACTGGGCAGCATGCTGGACTGGTAAGGGGATTGTAGAAGATGGCAGGGGCGGGAAGTGGAGTGGGGGAAGGGAGCTTCTTCTCTCCCTGGGAGCAGCTTACCTGTTAGGGATACACATATGTTCATCCCGTTTGTCCCTGCCTTACTATGATGGGTTGGATGGGGTCAGATGCATTTGTTATTGGAGAAAGAAATAACTAGTAAAACTCTACCCTGGACTGCTTTTTTATTGCAATCTACAGTTGCTTGGCTGAATCAGCATTTCCAGAATTGTGCTTCCTGATTAAGATGTATCCATCAGGGTGTTCTAAAGGATCAGACCTGCTAGAACACACACACACACACACACACACACACACACACACACACACACACACACACACACTAGATTGGCTTACAGACTGTCGTTAGTGTAGTCCAACAATGACTTGTCTCATTCAGTCCATCAGGCTGATAGTCTCAGCAGTCCCGGGGTGGTACTGAGGGCCAGGAGGATTCCTGGAGAGTCCTCACCTTTAATCTACATTGGAATCTTGAAGATGACCCAGTTTTGGGGTAGATCTTCCTGCTTCAAGTAATCTGGTCAAGAAAAATCCCTCTCAGGAGTGCCCAGCAGCTTAGGTTTTACTTGATTCTAGAAGCAGTTGGGTTGATAACCAAGATTAGGCACCATGGATATCAGTGTACCATATTTGAGTTGGATGTCACAGTGCCTGCCATTGATCTCAGCCTCCTGGGAGGTGGAGGCTGGTAGAACTCTGAATTGAGGGCCAGCCTGGTTGAGACCTTGTTTCTAGGGGGGAAAGTGCCACATGCCTATGATTAAGTACTTTTATGTTGCTGACCTCCCAGAATCCTAGTCTGTTGATGTATGCTATATACCTCTTGTAGGGGGTGGGTGGTTTGTGGGTTGGAGCAATGATTCCAAATTCTGGACCACAGAGCTCCTCCTTTCCAAAGGAAATATTAATTAATATTTCTGTTCCTCAGAACAGTTTTGATTATTGGGTATCTCATTGGCCCTCGATTCAAATATTTCTAGATGAATTCAGATGTTAATCAAGAGAACTTAATATATTACACACAGGCAAAATTACCTACTTCTGAAAACCTTAATATTCAACTAATTTAAGAGACGGCAGTAGGCAAATCAGTATCTTTGCCAGCATAATGTAAAAATTGTTCATGCAAAACTTGATTCCAAGAGTAGTAGGCCTCTTCTACCTACCTGCTGCAAGTTACCCAATCCATTGTAGATCAGTGCTCCCAGAAAACATAGTATGAGTCAGTTAATAGAAAAGCTAACTAAAGAAGCAGGTGGGCAGCACAAAAGCCTTAGTCAGGTTTCACAGGTACAAGAGCCATTCTGCCGGATTGCTCCTTCCAAGTACCACTTGTGTGATCCTGTGCCTTTCCCCTGTGGCCTGGTGACAGTGGATCATAGGGGAGCATGCTCTGTGGAACCCATTGAGAAGCTCATCGTGTTATTCTTTGCCTGAGCCTTTCAGCCAGAGGGGCATATAGATGTCTCTTTACCAGAGTGTCATCTGCCACTTGTGCATGAGACACTAACCCAGTACATTTCTGACTTTTCCCTCTGGTGGCAGACATGCTGCCGTTTAATTTATGAGGCTGGCTTACCCCACCAGGCAGGGTCAGTTACAAACACATCTACTCGGGAGCACCAGTGATCCAACACGGTCTCCCCCTGTCGGGACAGATCTTGTCTAAGTCTGGGCTCTCTTCAACAAGCACCTGGCCATTGATGGAATGCCCACCTCTTCACTCTGCGTGTGTGGAGGATGCAATGGGCCCTGCCCACTGAGGAAGCCTTTTCATTCACGTTGGTTTCTTGCAAATGCTACATTGACAAAAGCCATTTATTTTAGTCACAAGGCACATTGGATTTAAGGATGGCTTTGACAGTGAGCATATTTGTTCAAACTGTGTCCACCTTTTGTGAGGCATGTCACAATTGTTCTGTGCTGTTATAGCTGACAGTATTATGGGTTAGGTTTCTCTTTTTACTTTTTGTGGTGGAGTTAAAATCAAAAGTAAAACTGAAAGTTGGCCACATCATTCAATTGGTAAAATGTTTCCAGTTCATGTTCCAGTCCCTGGTATTGGGTAAAATCAAGCCTAAGCTTGGTTGTCTGTGCTTATACCCTCAGGCAGGAGGGTCAGAAGTTCAAGGTCATTCTGAGCTATGTGGTGAGTTGAGGCATCCTGAGCTGTGTTTGAACTCATCTCCAACAATCAACCAAGCAAAAATGTTTTAAAATCAAAATCCTGGGAATCATTTGTGTTCATTTTGACATTGTAGGGTATAACGATGACAGTTATGGGCAATTCTATGCATGGTTTATTCTGTAAATAAGCTCAGCCTCCAGGGGGAAAAGGAATTATGTACTGTAAAAATTAGAATTAATAAAAGTCAAGATAATAAACGCACAGGGTTAGCACAGAAATTCAGGCTACTTAGTGACATCGATGCATAATTGCTTACAAGATTCAGTGCTAAGAAATGCTAATGCAAGTCCTTGATTTGTAGTGGCCTAACTTCTTGAAAAGTCCACTTATTCTGAAATTTTCTCATGTAGATTTCAGTATAGTTAGTGTGGGGGGGATAGGGGTCTAATCCCTTATGGAGGAGACTTGGAGTTTTCATAAAACAAAACAAAACCACACCCCCATTGAATTTGCATTATTATAATTCCTCTTAGGAGTGCTTACCCGAGGTGTATATAGAAGTCAAATTCATAGTTCTGAAACATTTGATGCCCTTTGGGGAAAATGATGATGCATTTCCCTTGCAAATGAAAATGGAGGGAAGAGCATATAATTATAAAAACTCCAAACTTTACTCCGAAGTACTTTCTCCATTAGACACTGCTCTTTCCCATAATCCTCTAAGTGCTGGGAAAAATTCGGTTGGCCAGATGTGTGGGCAGCGTGCATTGCTTATCGGGAGGGAGCCTCTGGCCAAGATTACCACACAGGTCAGACACTTGGGTGTGGCCAGGTGAAAGAAAATGAAAGGCCAGATGCATACAGTAAATTGAACTAACTTAACTTGGCTTTTGAGTATTTTTTGAATAAAGGCCAGACTTTCTAGTGGATTCCAAAAGGCAATCAGCAAAGCAAATCTTGTCATAATTTTTTTTTTATTTTTAACCTCAAATATCCCTGCAAATCCTGGAGTTATTCATATAGTTATTGGAGAAAACACTCTTGCTATAATGTTTATTATCTTTTGGGCCTCTGAACTGTCTTAAAATTTCAGACATTCTCTGATAGCTAAATATTTAGTATATAAGGGTCATGGATAGCTCTTTCTCCATCTTCAGTGACAGACCTCAGCCATGGAGGAGGGCTGCTGAAGTCCACGGGTAGAGGCACAGCAAGGGTTCCCCTTCCTCAGGATGCTTCTAGAGAGCCCGACTTGTGTTAAGCTAGACTGGAGTCCACAGTGATGGCTGAACCCCACCACACTGACTCTCAGTGCCCCCAGCAGCCTCACGCCATTTATGGAAGGGAGCTAACAGGGCACCAGAAACAATTTAAGAAAATGCTCAATAATAGATTATTTCTAAATCACTGCATCAAATAATTAACATCCTGCTCGGCACTCATGGTTATTTATAGACCCCGCAGTATACCAAAATCAGCCAAAGTGATAAATCACCCGTAATGAAGCTTCCTGATGAGAAAGTTACCCTTTGACCACATTTGCAAAGTCCAGACTGCTTTTGATGTATTTTGGGTTATCAATAGACAAACCTGGTTACAGATGG